AAAATAAGGTTGCAGCCCATTTTGTTGAATACTTTGTGGAACACTCGCCCAAACAATAGCGCTTTCCTCTATGTTCGACATGTCTTCGAGGGAGAAATGGAAGTCAACTGATTTAATTTTTGTTAACTATGAATGCCTAATATCTTGCAATTCCTTTGAAAATTCTAATTTTCCATAGTTTGGCAAGCATTCKTTAAAAAAACAATAGGAAAATGAAAAATTTTCAGGAGTAAGTAATAAAAGCTTCATCTGCAAAATCAAACTTTCAATCAATCATTTAGAAATTCCCTTGATAATTCAGTCGTTTCATGAAACAATGGCACCATACAAACAGTTATATTTGACGAATATTTAATAACGAATAATGAATCCTCGGGATGTATTAGGCTGATTGCCTCAGTTCTCGGTATGTAACTCTTACATCATGTGACCCAATAGTTCGATGCTCATTGGACTAATAGCTCATGAATTATTAATGAGTTCTAGAACGTAGTCTAAATGGACAATTCACAATGGTCTAAATTTAGACAGACGAACTTTGTCTAAACTGGACAAGTATTTTTACTCGAAACATACCAACGTGTGCTTAACAAATGACATAGAATCATCCGCAGGCATCACTAAGAATCCCCTGAGAAATAAAGAACAAAGCTATCGCCGCCATGTTGGATGAATAAACAAGAGAAACAACTAATGAGGAATGGCGCCGTTTGTGATTTTCATCCAACATGGCGCCTATKACGTAACTTGCATGCCAAGAATGCGTAAATTCTTGTTCATTCATCCAACATGGCGACGATAGCTTTGTTCTTTATTCCTCAGGAGATTCCTCTTCATGTGGTTGCACAAGAAGAATAAAAGCGATCTCTTTTACGCTATGTTAGCCTTAAAACCATGTAATAAATTCTTTTATTCACTAACAGCTCGTACAAATGCAAGAGATCTGTGAGTATAGAAGACAACGGAAATAGTTTGAAATCATTTCTGAATGTTTTGCACACAATTGAAGCTAACACAGCGTAAAAGAGATCGCGAAACTCAACTATACCTCTAATAAAACATGCATATAAYATTTTATGTATGGAGCATACCTTTCATTTGAATTATTCATCCTWTTAACATCCAATCGGCCTCTCGAATCCACAAATATTTTTTTAGGGAATRAACAATCTGGTCCAGATTTTTTGACAGATATCTGTCTCCCAGTCTTCCGATCCCATTCAGTAGAAAATGTTCACTGCCCAGTTATTCTTGCATAATGTTGCTTTTGGGGATAACATTTTTCAATATTGAATCTTGTTCCTTCGACGTTAGAGGCTTTCTGGACCGCCTAAAAGTGGAGGCTGAAACTCGTTAGAGGAATCGGTTGTTCTTGATGCCATGTTGGATTTGCAGTGTATTGAACCGGAAAACTGTATCTCGCATAGCGCGCTTGATTTAGCATATCCCGAGACTACAGTTACTCCAAAGCAATATATGAATGGCATGAATAGCACTGATTTGCATTATGATTGCTCAATAAAGTTTTGTTCAATTAAAACTAAACTAGGTTAATTTAAACAACTAGTTATAAATAGAGTCAACGCACTTTTACCGTGCGTGAAATATGCCGATCAAAATAAACAGAAACTTTTAGTGTCTATTAACTGATTAATAGTAGATATCACTAAACCGGAACAGTTCATGAAAGCAACTTGCCTTTGAAAGGCAATGCACAAGAGACTTGACAACTGCACAATTTTATAATAGTTGGTATAGTTCTTTGTAAAACGCAGAAAGATGTCGCGACGGTCTAGAATTTGTATTAAATGTATGCTTCATGGCAAATCGAGTTTATTGAAAGGGCACAAAATGGATTCCCTATGTGTGTACATATCAAATAATAGAAAGTTTGATCACATAAAAACTAATAAGAACTACTTCTTTGAGTATGTTTCATGGTACAAGTGCGTTGACTCTAATGCGGCTAACAAATCCTGAGAGACTATTCTTAAAAAGACACACACACAATTAATGTTTGTTTGTTCAATTCACTTTGCTCTCCACAATAACAGTGATTAAAAGAACTTTTTTAAAAGCCCTATTTTTTCTATATATTTTTAGTTTTCCTTCAAAATACTAAACTATCAGCAACTGTATTTATCGGCTTTGAATCGTCCTGGGATAATAAATGAGGATTTGAAGCCCTCCAAATCGGACTGGACGAGGATTCAAGTCTTTACAATTTGTTCCAGTCCGAGGTGCCGTCCAGTTKGTTTTTATCTTTAAACATTGCTTAACATCAAAAACAATGGTGAATATCAAAAACCGCCCGACCGCTTGTAAAAAACATCCCGCAGGAATAGYTTGCCACGCAACTAGGCACAGTTTATTTTACTTTTAAAATCGCTATTTAAACGACTGCTAACAAAATGCACAACCATATTCAAGAAATCTTCGTCGTCGTTGAGTTGTAATCCTGACCGTGTGCGGCCATGAAGTTCTTGCTAGTAGTGATGCTTTTTCTCGCCTCTAGTTGGTACCTCAGCGCTGAGGAATTTGCTAGTGGAGAAAGTGAATTGAAGCTCAATGACTTTAAGGTAAGTCTGTAAACCATGGGATATTTCGGTTACATTGCTGTTGTCCAATACGGCTTTGGGAAGAACAGTTATAGTTGAAAAAGATGAGTAACACTAAATTAACAGGAAAAGATGTAATGCCTTTTGTAACAGAAACACAATCTTCTAATCTTCCTCAGCTAGGATTAGTATTTTTCATTATTATTTGCTACTTTTTAAGTAGTTTAAGCTGTGGTTTTGACGCGAATGTATTTGGTGAAATATTTTTTTATACCATATTTAAATGCTTCTCGTTCTCGTTTGTAGATCGGTATATCGCTTAAGCCGGTCAAAAAGGACAATAAATGCTTTCTGTTTCGTCTAGGACATGCTTAAAGGGATCTTCATTCAAATTTAAATCGTCGTCGACTAAACTTTTTGCAAGAAATATTTGAGAAAAACCTTTGGATGGATTTGTTTGGGGGCATAAATTGCTTTTGGATGTGAGGTCACCGCTTTGAGTTATAATTCTATTCAGATTATAACACTTATCATGCTTTGCATATACAGAGCAATCTATTTGGAGGTTGGAAACCAAACTGGAAGCCTACCTGGAATCCAAGYTGGAGRCCTACCTGGAGRCCTACTTGGATACCTACCTGGAATTCAAGATGGAGGCCTTCCTGGATACCCACCCGGAATCCAAACTGGAAACCTAAATGGAAACCAAGATCAAAGCCGTCCTGGATACCTACCCGAATTCCAAGCTGGAAGCCTACCTGGAATTTAAATTGGAGGCCAAGGGAAGCCAAGCTGAAGGCCTACCAGGAAAAAAATTAAGCTTGACATGAAATATTGATATTCTATTGATTAAAATCGATTTAAAGCAACTTGCTTCATTTTGTTTATTATAAGTTGTATGTTGTTGATATAACCATTTTTTTTGGTGAAAATAGATTGTCATTTACCCACGAGATGTTCAGCAAACTAGCTACTCTGCTTTAATTCGAAACCACTTCGTGGAACATACCGTGTCCAGTTTTGGCGTGAAATATATATTTTTACAAGGGCCGCGATAGATTTTATAGATTTTGCGTATGATATCTTCACATCATTTTTCGAATGTTTTTATCATTTGCAGCAAAAATTTAGTATTCAGATTGCATTCSCATTATCCTCAAGGAATTAATAAGATGAAAGTTTGCTTTAAATTTTAGAAAGAAAAAAAAAAGAATATATTTTGAACGTTAAAGAAAGAAAGAAAAAAAATTGTTTAGAAGCTGCTCAAGTGGGGAATTGAACCCGAGATCGTCAGTTTAACCCCGCTATTCAAGTACGATCTTGCGTGTAAAATATGTAAAACAAATATCTACAGGAAAAATAAGAATAAGTATATTTCAGTAAAAAAAGAATGAAAGAAAAAAGAATTGCTTAGAAGCGATCGAGTCAAGAATCGAACCCGAGATCGTAAGTTCGAAATTCAAAATCTACAGAAAATCAAGATGACTATAACAACAATATTATATTTAAAAAGAAAGAAAGAAAAAAATATGCTCAAGACGAGATTCGAACCCGCGATCCTCTATTCGACGCCACTGTTCGAGTATCATCTTGTTTCTGAAATTTAACAAACGCGGCTTGTAAATATCAATAAAACAAATTGCTACGATAAAAATCTAACATGACTAGAACACCTATATTTCTATTCAAAAAGAAAGAAAGAAAGAAAAAATAATATTTTTTCAGACGTGCTCGAGTCGAGGATCGAACCTTGGAACTCTGGATTATGGATCTCTTGCGATTATGGGCCCCTTGGCCTTCGGCCTGGACACGCTAATAATCAGAAACTGTCAGGATTCGTGTGTCAATCATTAGCCTTGTTTCAAAGATATCAATTCATCTATTAAGAAATTTTTAAAAGTCTAAAGTGATTACTACGTAAGAGTGGAGACTGGTCCTGCAAGAATTTTCCGCGAACGTCGCGAGAGTCRCCATTGAGAATGTGAGATATCAAAATCCCAGCTCTAGAATTTGTTTTGTTTTACGTTTTCCGAGACTTTTATTTAAAGAAAMATAGTACCATACGATGAAATAACATTAACATTGTACAATACGCGTATTTTGCGATATACTTGTGCTCAATATTAATCATATTTGAATCATTTTGTTTGGAAATGTTGGCACTCCTACCTTGGTAAGACTTTCCGTACTTACCGTACTTACCGTATTTGAAAATATGAGAGTTTGCAGCTCAAAGGGGTCTTATTTCAAAATGTCTTGCCTTGTACTGCATATAAACCGTTGCGTCATCAAAGGGGTCTTAGTCTTTACCACCCCTTTTTAGTTGCCACACCTCATATGTATATGCCAGGTTCCCCCATGCACAATGCCCTCGCGTTTAACACTAGTAATTGTAAGCTTCATAATACTCACTTTAAATCGACATCATACATGCATAGCATATGAATGCTAAACGTCTTGCTATTGAGCTACAATGTCTATTAAAGATATCTTTAATTACAACATTACCGTAGCCCAATTTTTAAAAACGTAAATGCGATTTTCGAACTTTGAAGAATTACTTCAAAAACATTGAATGCATTTTCGCTGTGTTCGTTGTGTTTCATTGTTATCTTTCATTCTATCCCACATGGCAAAGTGTRACTTTTTACATTCCCAATCTCTAATAGCTTTGATCACGTCTCTTCGCTGCAATTCACTGTTTTATTCTGGTCTTCACATGGGGACTTCATGTGTCTTGTCGCCTCACCCRCAAAGGGATGCAACAACCTAGTTATTAAATAAAATTATTCAATGAATGATTATAAATAAGCAGGGGAAGAAAGAAATGCTGAAACAAACCAAATTTTAATTTCTTGAGGGGAAGAAAATATATTAGTCCCACTCCGAAATATTCGTCTTTTAGCGATAAAATTTATTTTTTCGGCCTTCTTCAATAACATTGTTATATTTATTTTAAGATTTTGTCATTACCTGTGCTTCTTGTGAAGATAACGCCATATTAGTAAGGAGATTGTTATTAATATAATGAYTGCAACACCTATTGCTATACCAGCTATGGTTCCAACACTTAGTAGTGTTGGCGTGGCTGTTGGTGTGGACGTGGACGTGGACGTAGACGTGGCCATGACAGCTCCTATAGCTCTATCAACCGGCTCATTTCCATCGGAAGTTYTTGTTTTGCTTAAGACATCTGATAAAAAGTATTACAAGGTTAWTTATATCACTCTCGTTGTCATTTTTTAGATACTCTCATTTTGATAGTTGTTCCTCCTTCTTAATGCTTCAGGACAACTAACGCCCCGAAAATCACTTGAATTGCATCCATCGACCACATTTTGTTTTCTTATCTAGCAGAAGTAGGATCAACAAGGACTCAAGGACTTTTAACAAATCAAGTGCCGTGTTATATGCGCGCGTGTATGTTTGATCTAAAAATAGACTATCCGGACATCTYATGGCGACGGAACGATAATAGAGAAGGACACATCTGTTTACGTACTTCTGATATCTTAACACAGAGGTTGGTCCAAATGTCACGTCAACGRCTTGTGTTCACCACGAAGACAATACTCCGATTTCGAGTTCTGGTTTGCTCTGTATTAGCCTCAAAATCAAGTAACATATTCTTTTATTGTATTTCATTCTCACAATTAGGAATATTTTGCGCACAAATGAGGCTAACACAGAGCATTGGAGAATTCGAAACTGGATTATTGTGCTTTATCATCCTGAGCAAAATACATCCGATTGGATTAGATTTTCAATTGTCAAAAGCGTGAAATGATTTCTAGCAATCATCCAATCAAATGATGTTTGTCGAAATTATGACAAATGAACTTTGATTCATATCGATAAATGGTTAATGCCAGGTAAAGAGTATWAAATGTTTGATTTTTGATTATTGATATCCTTGTTTTCTATGTCTTTGTGCGACGATAGTTATAACAATTTACATCCGTGATGAGCTGCGTAAAATGTATTTTCCATGAAAACTTACTGAAATAAAACAAAAATACTAATAAATTCCAAAGCGTTAATGAAGTATGTCCCGATATAGAGAGAGGAGAGAGAAACCATAGCGAGGCAACAATACCGACTCGCTTTTACTCCAATAGCATACATGACCTTACATACCATAGTAAAGTAATATTCACTTACCATTGATGCCTGCACGTACAGAACAGTGAATCAGTGCTAAAATTAATATAACCGCGACCAACACGGTGAGCTGCAATGCCATTGTTGTCTCTTTCCACAAACAAGAACTTGATATTGTTCAATACTGGTTTGTGATTTTTGATTCAAGTTTCTATGGTTACATTTGACGTGTCATATGATGGTTCTTCAAAACTCCTGAACGTTAAGGTCGACTGAGTTTCAATAAAGAAACTACTCAAAATAGTCGACACTGGAAAAAATCGCGCGCCATAAAGGTTGTAAATTTGATGGAAATATGATGTAAGTGTCCAAAATGATGTAAATTTGATGGAAATGATTTACATCAAATTYACATCATTTTGGACACTTCCATCATATATACATCAAATTTACAACCTGTATGGCGCGCGATTTTTTCCAGTGCGATATCATAATGTCAGTCATTCTGCTCCTTGAAGATCAGYTCAAGGAAGTTRCAATCCGGGGTTGCACTGCTCTATATTTTAACCATCAATAGGGTATCATTTTAGTCTTATTTAGGTCTGGGGTATCAAATTTTATCATTATGTCGAGGACAGGGTATGGTTTTCGCCTGGCATAGATTGGAATTTAGTCTGGAATGGACAGTCATGCCTGCTGAGACAAAAATAAATTCAGACCCTTAGTAAATATTCCTTAGTAAATATGTTTGCAAAAAAAAAATAGTTCTGGGTTTGGATCAGAGTTTTGACGTCCTGATGGCAATTGTTTTACTTGTTGCGGCTATGTTGATTGTTGTTGCTGTTCTTTTTTTCTTGCATTTATAAGTTCTATCTTATAGTTTTAGAAGCTTTAAAAACTTCAGACGAACATGTTCCATTGATATGTGGCCAAACCAAGTCTTGAAACACTATCACTTAATCCTCGTCGGAAATAAAAAAAAAAAAAAAAACAGTATAGTCTTTGGATCGTGCAATTACTGTCTATCAATTGACATTCGAGTTTTTTCAGACAATTTTTTCTTGAAGTAGCCATGTCCAAACATCTAACTAATAAACTACGATCTGTGGTAAATGATACATGCATCTAAAAGACAACTTAATTGATTATGACAATATATATGCGATTTGCAAGATTTGGAAAAAAAATGCTTCAAAAACATCCCAAAACATTTTTTTTTTTCTATGTTAGTTTTGTTTCACTGTTATCTTTGAGTCTATCCTACATGTCTSTTACTRTCATTTCTCCACTAATCATKTCTTCTCAATCCCGTGCCGYGATGTTATGCTGATCTTCAGGTGGGTTCGGATCATCAGACTTTTGTGCTCTGTCACCCATACCCTCACTAGGATGCAATGATCTAGTTACAAAATAAAATTTGTTAATGAATAATGATAAATTAAATGGCAAAGATGCGAGAGAGAGAGAGAAAGATGAGGAAGGAATAAATGAATGAAACTGGAACAAGCAAATATTGTCCCTCTAYATTTAGGGACAAAAAAACTTAATCATCAAGTTGCAAGATATCATTCCTTTTGRGGAGTAAAATTCATTCTTCACATCTTTCCTGTAATTTTTTGTAATCCTTTGAGGATTTTGTCATTACCTGTGCTTCTTATGAAAYTGCCTTATCAGAAAGAAGACTGTTATTGCAATAATGACAACAACGCCTAAAACTATACCAGCTATGGCACCAATACTGAGTAGTGTTGRCGTGTGCGTTGGTRTGAATGTTGAGTTGSRCATGGCCGTCACATTTAAATTGGAGACAATTGTTGTGCTTGAGACATATGATTTGTTTGGTTCTGTTGTTGCTGTTGTTGCTGTTGTTACTGTTATTGTTGCTGTTGTTTTTTCTGTAACTGTTGTTGTTCCTGCTGTTATTGATTTAACTGTTGTTGTTCCTGTTGTTGTTGCTGCTGCTGTTGTTGTTGTTGCTGTAACTGTTGTTGTTTCTGTTGTTATTGCTGGAACTGTTGTTGTTCCTGTTGTTATTGCTGGATCTGTTTTTGTTAGTGCCGGTGTTGGTCTTGATGTTGCTGTTGCTGTTGATAAATGACATTAGAAGTTTAATTATAACAAGCGTTATCATTGTTTTGCGGGGATAGTTTGGTGCACAGATTTTTTCGCAGTCCCTGTTTAGGTAAAGAGAGTTTTATATTATAGCTATCATATAGTACGCGCGCTCTTATTAGTCAAATGTTATTGTTTATTTCGCTTGTAAACGCACGGATGCGAAAATGCTATGATATAAAAGCAATAAACAACATATTTTCGTGCGTTCCTGGTGAAATAAACCACTTGGGATATTGGGAAAAAACTCAAAAGGCTGACATTTTTTACGCCTTTTTCGTGAGCTCTCCCGACATCCCGCGTGGTTTATTTCACCAGGAACGCACGAAAATGTGTTGTTTATTGCTTAAATAGAAAGTAAAATGATTAAAGAAAGCTTTCAAGTTCTTTCAGTTTATCATGATAGCATATATTTCAAATATTTAGATGGATCTTATAGTAACGCTGAAATAGATTATAGCTATTACCCTGTTGTATCTGCAGAAAATGTTAAAAATATGTACTAACTACTTCTTAACTGATGAATGGATTGAATTTCTCTACTAGACCATAACTCTTAGCGCACTAGTGGCCAGTTCACACACATCCGTTTGAAGCCAGATATCTCCAAGGCAGAAGTTTGTCGATTTTTAGTGGTCTTGGTCGATTATTTTGAGTCATAATTACTTAAAATACGCTCTCAATCATCCTGAACAAAATATATGTTTAGTACTGGTACCACACTGTACCGTCCGCTTATACAACGATTTAACGTACGTCACTAATATCGGTAACATAGTAATAGCTAAATAAATGTCTTAACTATATTAACGATATTAGTGAAGTAAGTTAAATCGCGCTGTTTCATAAACGACCGCTTAAAATTGTAGCGTACTGATTCGATACTGATGTGACTCGTACAATTATTGACCTTTTGGAATGGAGAAAATTGCCGAGCAACCACCAAGGGAATTCGGAATACACTCAAAATATACACAAGAAGTCAGATAAGTGAGTTTCTAAGAGTATATTCGGTTGTTAATAAACCTATAACAAATATTCGTAATATCATTATCAATAATTAACTGTTATGGTTGTCCTGGCGCCTAGTAGTAACGATAATACTAAATATTTACTTCCGGGTTCAGTGCTGAGGGGGATATATTGTCCATGCAAACTTTCTTCGGAAAATGATTTAAATTCATAAAACAATGCAAAGCTCGGAGGAGAACATACCCTGGCAACAATAGCGACCTTTTGATTTGAGAAAGAAGACGAGAGGACGAAGTTGGTGAGCACGCACAACTTTGATGTCGTCAGCTCACTCGCGCATATTCAAAAGAAATTCCTAATTCACTCCGGAAAACTAATTTGACATGGTTTAGTTTATGCCAATTTAGCACAAACTAAGGACATTTGCGCATACTTATTGCTCAAAGTAAAACAAGGGATGTTCAAAGTCGATGTTTTTGTATTTTCTTCACAGATTTTCAGAGCAAAATAAGTCCAAGGAAAGCTGATAAAAACTTCGTTTTGAACAGGACTAAGTTTGGTAAAAACTTCATCTCCCTCAGCAAGGAGACAACGTAACATTTGTTGTGTGACATTTCATGAGGTGTCTTAATCTGTAACGGCAAATTTTCGAAACTTTGTTCTCGTCTTCGTTCTCAAAACTAAAGGTCTCTAATATCTACACGCATTTACTCCAAGAGAATGTATGACCTTTCAACATATTATGGTATAATGTTCACTTACTGTTACTAGCATGGACAGAATGGCTAATCGATGCAATTAAAGCCATTAGAAACAAGGTGAACTGCAATGCCATGGTTTTCTCTTTCCACAAACAAGTATAATTGATATTGTTTAATACTACGAGCGAGGTTTCGCTTGTACTATGAATACGGTGACTTATAAGATGTTTTGACTCACGTTTCAATGGTTACGCGTCCTATGCGACCCGGGTGTTGGCTAAACCAAGCCGGTTTCCTATTGGCTATTAGAAAATGATCAACTTGTATAAAGAAGTCAATGGGAGGGGTGGCTAAATRTCCTCGCTGCAATATTTTCCGAGAACGGACAGATTTAGGGTTTTTAAATTCGAGACTGAAACTTTTTGCTTTACGTTTTCSGAGAACGGTAATTTCATTGCAGAAAAAAGTAATAAATAACGTAGAAAGAGTATACATGACGACAAAAACAAAAGGAAAACGATATTTCGAGCCTCCGAGTACATTAAATCTGAGAAATCCATGATTTYGCTTTGTTTCCCGAGACTTTTCATTTACTTATTTTCGATTTCATTTCGGATTTTTGTCACTGACGTTTAATACAATAAAAAAATATACAGTTTTTATTGATTATTCATAATACATGAATTTGCATATCCAAAYATCTATCTAATAAACTACAATATATGTTTATTGATTGCTATCTTAAAATTCAGCTTTAGCCGAATATACACCCAAACGCAATTTGCCGAAGCTTTGAAAAAGTATTCTCGAAACATTCCAAAGTTTTTTGCATGTTCGTTGTGTTTTACTGTTATCATTGAGTCTAACCCACATGGCTAAGCATGCTGCTATCATTTCCCCACTACTCTAGTTTAGATCATGTCTTCTCACTTCAGTGCGATGTTATGTTGATCTTCAGGTGGGTTCGGATCATTAGACTTTTGTGTCTTGTCATCAATACCCTCAATAGGATGCAATGATCTAGATATAAAGTAAAATTAATTAATGAATAATAATACAAAGTTAGAGACAAAGATAAGAGATGAGAARATGAAGAAGAAATGAAGAGAAACTGAAACAAGCAAATATTGTGCCTCTAGTCCCTCCACATTTTTTGGGTAAAAATTAATTATCTAAGATATGTCTCTTCWCATTCAGAGGAATTCACGTCTTCGCTGTCATTTTTATAATCTTTTAATATGATTTTATCATTACCTGTGCTTCTTGTGAAGCAGCCATACCAGTAAGAAGATTCCTACTCCAAYAATGACTACACCAACGCTTACAACTATTATAGCTATGGTTGCATCACTTATTGGTGCTGCAGTGGGTGTTGATGTGGGTATTGTGGACGTGAACGTTGAAGTTGAAGTTGAAGTGCTTGTTGATATGAGAGTGGGAATGGGAGCGTGCAAGAACTTGGAACGATCACTTGGTAGCGATGGAGTGGAATCTAATGAAGAAGTTGGTGTAGATATTGATGTCGTCCTACGTGGTGATGTTAGTGGCGATGTAGCAACTACTAGTGCTGTTGGTGTGGATATTGATATCGTTCTGGGTGGTGATGTTGATAGCCTTGTAGCAACTACTGTTGCTGTTGCTGTTGCTGCTGTTGTTGCCATTGCTGTTGATATTGCATTTTGATAAATGATATTAAAAGGTAAATTATATCACTAGCTAGCATTGGCATTGTTTTAAGCTACTCTAATGCTCAAGGTATTTGATAGTTGTCCTCATCGAGGCTGCATACAGTCACTAAAAAGACAATGAAACAAKGACGTTTACAACGCAATAACAATAATTWTCAGCGCGTCATTCTCGATGCAATGACACTTGGACTYGGACTCAGGAAATGACAAAATCCAAATTCCTGTAAACCACAAGGGACTCATAGAATCTTGTAAATCTCTCACGCGCTAATTTTCACTTTCCGTTAAACATTGCCGGTTCAAGTTCGCGCGTGCAAAAACCTTGTTCATTCACTGAGGAAGGTCATCGTCTTGACCGAACTGTCTGAATTACGACATTCGTTTGTAACATAATGGCGAGTGGCGAAAATACATGTTTTTAATTCTAAATGTGGAWACTCCTAGCTGCAAATTTGATGTATTTAAAAGCAACAATAATAGTTTATCAATAGACAAAATATACCCAATAGAATTACAAAGGTAATCACTTTTCGTACAGATCTCGAGACTCGTAAATTAAAATGTAGGCTCGTGATAGCATGAAGTTATGATCTAATAGATCGACCTAATAGTAATTCTGGAGCGAAGGAGAACAAGAAGAAAACTATAACATGCTATAAAGTTAAGTACAAAATATTTCAAAGTATTCGTTAAGTTTACAGTAAGACCTGTAATAAATTTAACTTTGATATTGAAAATGTAATAATGAAGAAATACGCGCTAATAMTCCTGAACAATTCCGCGGAATTGAAATAGAGTGCACGTCACATAAGCATGAAACAATTCTTAATATGTATTGCTAAATAAGATTTAGTTATCAACTAACTAAGAATTCAACAAAGCATAGAGTGGTTTTCATAAACCCGTGAAACAAAAACTATTAGTTAAAGTGTAATAGTCAGATGACAACAAAAGAAAACAATGGTATTAGGGTGTAATAAAGTGTATTAAGCTAAAGTGTATTTCACGGGTTTATGAAAACCACTCTAAACACAATGCCAATTATTTAAATTCCTTTGTAGCATTGTTCTCAATTCTTAGTTAGTTGATAACTAAATCTTATTTAGCACTACACAGTTAAGAATTGTTTCATGCTTATGTGACTTGCACTCTAAAATTTCCAATTTTCAAAAGCGTTAATGATTTCTCCAATCAAATATTTATGAAATTATCACAAATGACCTTGCGTTGAAATCGAGAAAGAGTTCAGTGCTAGGCAAATTGTATATCATAAATGTTTCTATAACGCTGSTTTTCTAAGTCGTTTGGTGACGCTTGTAGTAATGATAATACTATAAATCTACTTCCGGGTTGGTTTGATATATTGTCYATGGAAAACTTGCTAAGTTTTCCCTTTCTTGAAAATCATTTAAATCCTTGATTCTAAATGCAATAACTATAATCCTTAAATCCTTAATTCTAAAGCACAAATAAAGTACGGACTAATAGTGAAGATCCGAGGAGAGAAGAAGCATAGCGAGGCAATAATACCGACTCGCTTCCAATAGCATACTCGACCTTACATATCATAGTATAATGTTCACTTACAATTACTGATGCTGCCATGGACAGAGTGGTCATTCAGTGCAAATATAGCCACGAACAACACGGTGAACTGCAATGCCATGGTTGTCTTTTTCCACAAACAAGTATAACTTGATATTGCTCAAAACTACTGTTGGTGCTATAAATAGTGATAGTTATRRTGTTTTGATTCAAGTTGCTATAGYATCATGTGACCCTGTTGATGGCTCAATAATCCATTTSCCTAGACTCCTTCATTTTTTTGACGCCATACAGAGGTCATATGGAGTAATTTGAGCCCTTGAATCGAAGTTGTTGGCAAACGTGCTGTGCAGACCTTAACTTGGAGATTATATATACCGTTAAGATTTGTTATACTGGCATATGCCGCGCCGCGATAGGRTATGTATGGAAATTGATATTTCTCACAATGATTTTATGGAGCCAAGAGTTGACAAAGAGTTAACAAAGGATATTTAAAGTGCATATGAAGGATTTTTTTTGTGTTTCCTAAAGATAGTTTACCAATCATTAAATATGGTTTGAGGAAAAGAAATTCAAAAATCGGAATAGCGGTGTGTTTTTGAGGCGATTCAAGTTTAAAAATGGCCTACTGTGCTTTTTGTATCGGGAGAGTCCTAGAGAGACTGGAGACAATAAACGTGTGACGTAGCTTCAGTCAGATCAGTCTCGAAGTTTGCAGAGAAATACTAGCAAAATTCCCTAAGTCAGGTTTGAATCTGACATCAAAGAAAACGAAATTCGGAAATTAATATTCGAATGAATTATGTCACCAAGTTCTCATTAGCAACGATGCGCACCAAAAAAACATCTGACGGATGCTACGTCACGCTTATTGTAGCCAGTCCCCCTAGGACTCTCGCTATAGAAAACACAGGAAGCCATTTTCTGAAGTTAATCGCCTCAAATACACCCCACTACTTTGATTTTTAAATTTCCTTTATATGCACTTTAAAGTATTAAAACAAAATTTCATAGGAGGAGCCGAGGGGTTCCTGGGAGAAATATATCGGTACTTATGTCCCAGCCAGCTGKAAGTCACAACTGATTGCCAGCGAGAAATTCAGGAAAAATGAACTCTCTAGGCAAGGAATACTTTCTTAGAATTTTTGAAAGGAAAACAAAAATTGCCAACAAACAATGTAAGCCGTTTTTGACCATTAAAACGTTATATAAGCCTTTTCGACCTTAAAAACGTTTGTCAGGAACAAAATTATTTTAAAGAAGGAAGGGCGCCACATTTGCTGGTGAGATTGTCAGTTTTGTCAACAACGTAGCTCAAAATCTCTTTCCCACAAGAACAGAACAAGAACAAGAACAGTTTTTTAAAGAACAGGCCCCGTCGGTTCCTCCTGATTTCCCGCAGAACACTGTTATTTTGGCGCAGGAAATTCTGTTCGTCACGATCCTGTATTCACACTAGCGATTACGCGGAAAAACCATCCTGAGGGAGAGCTTAGAGTATAAACCGCAAACAAGATATCCTGCTTACGGTTCGTAGGGTGTCCCAGAACCTGRCATAGCCCGCTAGAGTAGTGTCTGGGTACGAGACGTCTGTTGGGTCTGGAGAATATTTTTTTTATATTTTGTTGGGGATAGGGTATGTTTTCGCTTCATCTGGTATGTGGTTGCGTTTTCAGGGCTGATGACGATATTATATGGGATTAGTGATTAGTGGATCAACGCTACGTTTGTGGCTCAGGTGCTAGAGTTTTAGATTTGGAATGGAGATCAATGTCTAGGGATTAGAATCACGTATTGAGCAAGGACTAAGGACCAATATTTCACTCCTTTTTTATCAAGGATCAGACTTCAATCACTGCAAGAAATTATATACTTMGCTGCTATTCTCGGATTTAATTTGGAATAGAAAATGCCTTTCTGCTGATATAAACAAATATAGGCCTTCATTCCTTGATTATTACTCGGGCCCAGGACCTAGGCCGGGAAATTAATGAAAATGACCCCTAAAATGAACCTGTGTGTATGATATGTATAGTTTAAAACACGAGAGAGTGTGTTTTATCAGGTATAAAGATTCGAGCCGAATTCGAGCCGAAGGCGAGGATCTTTATACCTGATACAACACTCTCTCTCGTGTTTTAAACGGCTTAAAAAACTCCAACACTACTTTGAAACTCAAATCCGTTAAAATTCTTGGAGAAATTGCCGTACAAAATCAAATATGTTCAGAGATAAATGGGGCAAACTGATCATGCGCGAATCACTTTACAAAGCACGCTTGTCATCCCTCGTGGTCGACCGTATCAAAGGCCTTTTTAAGGTCTGAACTAGACGATCATGGATCGCTTACGTGGGCTTCCTGTGACAATGGTGTTTCATTTTAACAAGATAGTCTTTGTTTGTAATAAGTCAAGACAGAATTAAGTTAATATGTTATCAATTTATTACATCATAATTTTTTACCGAACTGAACTCTAAGTAAATTCTTTGGATACTATGTCTTTTTTCTCAGTTTCCAAAATAACTAGCTCGACTTWACGCTCAAGAGCGTCTATATTATTCAAAATATCTGATAGGTCATATAAGTCACATAGACAATAGAAACGGTACAGTCTTGGCAGTATAACTTTGAATAATATTTTGATCATTTGAATCATGTATCTGTATCTTGTGTTTCTGYTCTTTTTTATTTGGTGTTTTTCATTAATTTGTAAATCTGGTGTTCTGTGCCATCATAAAGGTGTACCTTAGCCTTCTAATGACAGTTCATATTTTTGGATTTGTCTAAGTTTTTCAAGTTAAACAATCATCAAAACAAACAATAGAGAATTAAAATGCTTCATACACAATATAGATTTTGTATACAGAGTTCAGTAAAGCTCACACGTGCAGTTTTCCGAACTTCAAACACATCGTTAGTTTAGAAAATGGCATCAATATTTTTCAGATGAGGTTTGATATGCTTTNCGAAGAAGTAGTGCTCTTCGAGTCGGCGGTAGAAAATGCCCAGTCATTTCTGCACGAATCATCCGCTAATCTTGAATTATATACCTCAATCCATGTCGTTTGGATGGTAATCAGTTGATTTTGTAAGATTTTCAGCTCTTTAGAGCATTTTAGCTACATTTTAGAACCATTTGAAACGAGACAACTTTTTGCCGCCGTCTGTCAGCCATTTTGTTTTCATTCTGAGACTGCAGTCCATCTGCAACGCAGGCGCWTCCAAAAATCGCTGATTGGTTTATTTTGACATCTCCATGGAAACTGAGACTGTAACGCATGCGCTATCGATGCGCTACCAATTTGAAGCGTAATTTTCACCACCACGACGAAAACGCCAGTTGCATTTTTAGACGTGGACTTCCACAGGAAGCCCACGTAAAAAGCTACAGAATTGACCTACCCTTTGTCGATGTTCCATGACCAACTATCAGTAGCTTCTAGTAGAGCTTTAACAGTTGAATGGAGCGAGCGAAAGCCTGATTGATGTTGCAACAACAGTTTGTTGCTAATGAGATACTTATATAATTGGTTATAGACTACTCGCTCAATCAATTTCGCTATTATTGGAATAACTGAAATTGGGCGATAATAAGAAGGATCATTCCGTTCCCCTGATCTTTTGTAAAGTGGTGTAACTCTTGCTTTTTTCCAATCAACTGGAAAAACGCCCTGAGTTATGGACTTATTGTGAGGTGATGGGCGTGGTAGCGCTATAAACACAGTTATTTTGTTTTGGTTTCCCGATTTTATTTGTGTTTTTGCACAAGCAATAAACGCCGTTGGCTCGTATTGAGTTTATGACGATGTTAACATATACAAAATATGATGACAGCTTAGGGTCGTCGTATACCCTAAAAGGGGCCACAAAACTCTCACTGTTAATGTTAGTGGGAATTCTCGTCATTATCACCGTAAGTGAAGTATTCCTAATTGTGCGAATAATAGTTTGAGATTTCAAATCGATTTTATTGTGTTTTGTTTTGTTTTTTTTTTTTACAAATTCCATGCGTTTTCTCGGGCTATCAATAAATCAAAAGAATATGTTACTTAGTTTTGAGGCTAAAACACAGAGCAAACCAAAACTTGAAATTGGGATATTAGTATAAGTCTATCCATATTTTTACTTTGTTTCACACGAAAGACTATCAGAGTGAACGATTTGAGTCACGTCTGCATTTGCCGTGGGTGATGTTTTAAACCTTGTCTACGCTTTTAAAGATTTGTACATCTAGTACACTGAAAAGCTGCTAAATATTGCATGAAAAGTAATCAACAAGGAGTTGAAAGAAAATTTCACAAATTTTACTCTTATTATATGTGATTTCAAATCCCTTCGTGATTTAGCAGTTTCTATAGACTTATAGATGAACTGCATGTCTTTTGTGATTCTTTACATCTAAACCACCAGACCCTCTTAGAGCGTCAACTCGGGCGGGCTATTTTTGAAAATTGAGAAAGACAACATGGTTGGGCGTATAGGCGAACAATTGAAAAGTTTTAAATGTTGAGCTAAATTTGAAAAAGTACTAAATAAGCCAGCACTTTCAACAWCTTTAGGGTACGAGTAAAATCAGAAGATTTTTCGGCGAAGTTCAGCTTAATATAAATACTAGAAGGCCGTTAATTTKTCACTGACGTGTATTTTAATACCAACGACAATTTTTAATCAGCTATCCTATAGATACATGTGTACGTACGTTAATTAACCTTATTGAATTAACGTTGTCGGTACGGAAAAAGGTCGTATATCATTAAAGTCAACTCTGAAGGGGATTCCGAGAGTTTTGTTTCTATATGACTATGTTTGACWGTTATCATTGAGTCTATCCTACATGGCTAAGTGTTTTATCTCTCTTTGGTTTCTCCACTAGTCTAGTTTTGATCATGTCTTCACACTGCAGTTCACTTCTATTAATCATTTGGATTTTGTGTCTTGGTCGTCCATACCTTYAATAGGATGCAATAATATAGTTTAAAAAGTACATTTATTCAATGAATTATACAATACTGAAAGAGAGAAACGGCTAACGGCAAAGGTGAACCAATGACCTAAGAATTTCATGCTTGGCCTTGTGCTTTAGGTACACTCTCRCGTTTAAACTGTTACGGTAAGCCCCAAAAAGCAGTTCACGTGATCTTTTCTGCCGTTTGCAGTTTGCCGTGGACGTCATGCTTAAGCTCTCTAATAATATAGCAAATGTGGCCAGATACTGCTGTTACATGGTAAATACACTCTATGAGTCGAGCTCTTACTGTTCTACAGCATTATCAGGACTGGCTTAGAACAGCGAAAGCTCGACTCCATATAAAGTGCATTTACCATCTAACAGCAGTATCTGCGACCGCATTTGCTATATTAATACTCTCCTACTAACACAACTTAACACGCTTCTGAAGGAAACTTCTCAAGATTAGAGAAACGTAAAAAGAAAGGAAGATGAAGAAGTAACAAAACTGAGCAACTGAAATGAAAAAAAAAATATTGTGCTTCTTCCTTTTTTCGACTTTTTTCGAAGTAATTCAGAATAAGCTAGTATGTAGTTCCACTACAATCATGCTGAGGTAAAATTCATTCTTCTTCTGTAATTTTTTTTTTTTTTAATCCCGTTTCTGTCATTACCTGTTTTTCYTCAGTGAAGCTGCCTTTTTAGTAAAAAAGATTGTTATTCCCATAAAATGATGGCTGAAACAACGCCCAACGCTAGGCCGATTATTGCACCATCTTTTAGTACTGTTGACGTGGATGTTGTTGCGGCCGGTTCTGCTGTTGTRGMCGYAGTTGATTTATCAAACGAATTGTTACCATCGTTGCCATTTGTTTTAGTTAAGAGACCTAYTGGTGTTGTTGACGGAGCTGACGATGGTGGCATTGTTACATTAGTGGCTGTTGATAAATGATATTAGATGATTAATTATATCAAGCGGTCATTGKTTTGTGCTACTATAGTATAGGGCAAAGGATGTTTGATAATTGTTGCTCCTCTAGGTTGTATATAGTCAAAACAAAGACAATGGGGTCRCGAAATTWACGACAACACTTGAAAAAAACGCRCACTTCAAAGGTTAGTAAATTTGAAGAATTTACAACCTTTTCAAGTGAGCGATTTTTCCCAGTGCAACAACAGCATAAATCGTTTATAAACAGMCAAAAATTATTATTTTAACTAGTCTCTTTTCTCATTCCAGCTTTCATTTTCACAAGAGGTTCCTGTTCAGCTATTCTTGATGACCACTACGGAATCAGTAGCTTCATGACAATAAGCACTTTTCAACAACTACTTTTGACTGCTCTCTAGCTCATTGGTCAAAGAGGCGATCACGTGACGCGATAGTGCCCGCCGTTCGGGTGGGTGCTGTCGGTACATAGAGCACGCCCCTTCAGAATAATTTGTTGTTGAATTCTAAAAGCATTTTGTTAGTTTAGTTGAAATCTCGGGTATTTTGCTGTGATAGTTGCCCTTGGAAAGTGGATGTTCCTCAAACTTCACAGTCCATCGAACTGCGTTCTCGGTCGACTCATTAATTTTTCGAATTATCCAGTTTCAACGCGGACAACTATCACAACATAATGCCCTCAGTTCTACTACTCTATTGTTTAATAGAACAGATAAAAGTACATATTAGAGTCATTGCAAATTTCAAATTTCAACTTCAAGTTGAAGGAATTAGAGTGGGTGGTTAACCCTTTTCCTTCCAAAAATCTGGGGATTTTTCTGAGGCCTGATTTACCGACCTATATCCGGTAAATAACATTTTTATTCTTTTATTTGCATTTTATGCAACTTTGCATACACAGTCTAGCTGCAGGATACCGTCGGACCGGGCAGATCGTGAAAAACCGGACCGCGCGCTAGCCAATCACATCGCGCGAATCACTAGGATACCGGACCGAACAAAAACTAATATAAGAACACATTCAAGTTGTTCTTATATGGAAACATATCAAAGATCAAAACCATTTTTTTATTGCACACATTGCTTAGATTTTTTTTAATCAAAATAGTTACATCATTGTCAGTATTGATTACTTAAAATTGTGTGAATATATATTGATTTCATCTATTGGTAGCCTAGTATGTTCCTTATTTAAGAACACTTAGAGGCTGATTTTGCAGATTATAACCCTTTATATAAGAACCAAATCAGCCTGAAACGCCAAAATAGGTGTTCTTATACGCGGGTTTTTACWGTATATTTCACGGCAAAATTCTTTACACTTAACGTAACCTGGGCATTGGACACCGTATGTTCCACGAAGTGGTTCTTGTTATCTACATCTACATCTATCTTTATTATCCTTAAAACCATAAGTATCACAAGGATATTAAATAAATAAATAAAAAATAATAATTATTATAATTATAATTATATAGTTATAGTTATATATTTAATCTTAAGTGTACATATACGTAGTTATTCATGCATGCCATTCCACAAATATCTCAACAATTCAGGTTAAATCAAGCGAATAGAGGTCTCATGGCTTAATGGTTAGATCTAGGGATAATTTGGGTTAGGAAATGCATAGCGCTGGTTCGCATTTTACTACGCGTCCTTCAAAAATTTCTTTTCGGTTTAAGTTGAAGYCTTTGAAAATTTTCTAAGCTGTTCTTCACATAATTGGGACATGAGAGCMTTCTACGTRCACATCAGCGCCTTATATGTGCACATCAGCACCGTRCACGATGTATGGAAGTCTCACGACAGATCCTTCTCTCGGACAAGTTTCGGTTCACCGCATTCTTGCATATTCAAAATACATTTGTTTTCGAGAACAATTTGCTTTATTTAATCTCGAATACACGGTTAGAAGGGTTTTAATCATTAAAGTGATTCAACTATTGCATATGGTAAAATCAGAACTATGCAGGCTCTTTTGTTGCGGAGCGAGTTAAAAAAGAAACAATTTCACTCGCCATTGGGATTAACTTTAAACGACGATGTGTAGATGATTCGCAGTAAAAAAGTTTGGATTCTTTCTGTTATACTCACTAGAATAGTTCGGACTAAAAAGTGTCTAAGATTGGACTAACAACACTCCTTGCAGCTAGAAAGCAAGGAAGAGAACAAGCCGACAAACTCATCAGTATTGTTCTAGACAAAGACCACAGAGACAGACCGGCGTTTTTACAAACCATTTTTTCATCATGTATGGTATTGTTATCATATAAGGACTCACAGTCGTCTTTCACACACAAACAAGTCATTATTCTGTCAAACTACTTTCGTTTCCAGCTTTTGAGTGACTTTATATCCAGGAAGTAGCAGAATTACTTAGAGAGATTTAGAGAGAATTACTTGAAGTAAGTTGAGCTGCAATTCACACATTTAGGAAGTCAGCAATTAAATTTAAAGTAAYTTCACRTACAAAGTTTCGAAAAGTTCAAGTGAAAGTCGCAGTGATTTCCTCTATATTTGATTTCGAGCATGTTCGAAATGTCTGCGATAAACCTGCGATCTGTCGCCGTGAAATCTCTGTCTGCACGCGCGATTTGGGTTGGCAATTAAATCGCCGCAAAATCAACAGATTTGCTAGTGCTAAATTAAACTAGGCTTAAACGTTTTCTATTAAGCTAGTAGATAATATGTATTTATTTCCGGGTTGGGCTGAGGGAGATATATTTTTCACATGAAACATAGGAGAATTTTCACTTTTCACTTTTAATATTCAAGTTGTTGAATATCATTTAAATCCTTGTGAATTCTAAAGCACAAATAGATTATATACTAATATAGAAAAGATAAGAGGAGAAAACGTACAAGCATTGTGAGTCAACGATATCGACTCGCTTTTACTCCAATAGCATACATGACCTTACATACCATAGTATAATTCACTTACCATTGCTGGCTGCATGGACAGAACGGTGAAGTGCAATTATAGCCATCAGAAATAAGATGAAGCGCATTCCCATGGTTGTCTCTTTMCGCAAACAAGTATARCTTGATATTGCTCAATTCTACTGGTTTCGTTTGCAAAAATGAAAGCTTATGATGTTTTGACTCAAGTTTCTATGGTTACGCGTGATATGTGATCCTGGGACGCGTTGGCTTAACYAAGTCGCTTTCCTATTGGYTAATAGATCGAAAAGTCAATAGAAGCAAATAGGGAGTTTTCAAATTGAGTCAATAGGAAAGGATCACTTGGTTCTAAATTCGCGACACTGGACGACAGAAGAATGTAAACAACCTCAAAAACATAAGAAACGCAGCCCGTCAAACTTGACTTTTCTTTGTTTTGAACATCCCAGTGTGTATTTTGCCATCCAGTGTGACGGATTTAGTACCATTCGAACGTTTCATGCAAAATACCTATTCACTACAAAGAACAATAGTTCCGTATGGTATCATTATGTTTTGACTTCGATTTAGTTCCTTGATGTTGTGGTTTTAGAGAGCATGCGCATATTTATTAAAAAGTTTATCCATGTTAATTTTATAATAATTTTATGGCAATTTTAACTTGATTTTGATTTAATAGCATTGCAAAAATCGCATCTTTTAACCCAGACAAATGACGTACTCAGAGATAGCACACGTAACTTTCAAATGTGCTCACCTCTGTTGCATTTGTGAAATGATCTTTTCAATAAAAGGCTAAAAATAGTCTCCTTTATAGTTTTTACGCCATACAGAGTTCAAAAGGAGTCTTGTTCRCGTGAGCACATGTTGAAGTGATGATTGGCAAGCGTTTGGTCTGTACTTGTAGAATATGATGTCAAAGRCAGCGTGGCAATAGGGAAAAGCTACCCTTGAAACGACCAAAACAAAGAGTTATTGCCGTTATCAATTAAGGACACGAGCCTTTCACWCTAAAGGCACTCCTAATACAGTAAGAAGTCAAGGCCATATCCAAACTAGGGAAGTACAATGTGCGGACCTCCMAAGCAAAAAGTTCAATTAGAGGACAACCAGTATAAAATTAAGAAAAATATGACTACACTCACCACCAATTAAGTTTACGGATGTCTATTTAACTAAGTGTTAAATAGTAAATGTAAGTGTAAAAATAAATGATGCGTCGATCAAGTATAAAGGATCCACGTGACAGGCTAGTATGCCCCCCTATTGTATGTTAGGTTGGAAATCTKGTCCGGGCGCTGAACGGAAATTAGATACTTATGGTTGTTGAGCTGACTCAGAATGGATTCATATATTGTAGATTGAGGAAGCAATTCTATGTATGAACGTACTACGCTTCACTAAAATTGGCTCTAGTCATTTTTATTTCAGCCCTTTTTTTCATTTAACTTTGTTACTATTGATAGCTCAATTGATAGCTCACTGACCGGTCTTTCCAAAGTACCGTAGKACCCCACATATAAAACACCCGTTTCTGGAGTTCAGGTTGATAGTGTTCTTATTTAAACACTCGCTTATAAATGAAAAATCAGTCTGAGCATTTTCTGAAGTGTTCTCAAAATTTCAGATCATGCGCGAGTTCTTTTCTATGTGCAGTACGTTACAGTGTGCAGTGGGCAAAATAAACCAGGTACTCYAATGCTACACAAGATCTACTTGTATCTAAACTCAGTGTAGTTTGGTTTCTGTATTTATGCAGGTCTGTCAGATGAATGTTGTTTTTGAATTTTTAAGAACTTATTTTGGTTTTTCAGGCTGATTTTGTTCTTATTTATTTGGTATCTAAAACTCCATAAACCAGGCTGGGTGTTCTTAAGTCACTTGTTCGTATATACGGGRTCTTACTTTATATACTATAGACTGAAAGAGCAACGCAATTTCTTAATAGTTGCCACTTCAATTCTTTTGGCATGACGGCTAGTTAAATAGCTCGGAACTCTTACTCTCAGTTCATTGGCTATTTTCTGGCTGTTTTGGGTATGCTTTAACGTGGCTTCTCAATATACATTGACTAACAGTTGCCTCTGTGATTATGTTTTTTTAGGTCTTTACTGCGGTTTTCCGTTTTCTGCGAACTCTAGCACTACGAACTTTAACGGTCATTTCTTGTTTTTGCTCCGTCAATCAAAGATTCCGMAGTAAACCGACGAACTGCCACAAACCGAACGAAGTCCGCCATGTTTGTTTGTTCACAGTACTAGAGTTCACAGAAAACGGAAAATTGCAGTAATTAGGGCTATAGTCGCGGCGCTTTTGAATATGTTTTGAAATAAAAACACAATGTAATAGCATTATAAACGTTCTCTATATTTTCCCTTTATGCTGTATGAATGAAGATTCGACCTTAAAACCRACGACGAATGGAAACCGATTGCGAATGAATATTTGAAATCATCTTATTTTACACATATGAAAAATCTAAAACACGACCGCATTGAATGCTGGTGGATCATGTGCCTTTAAGCTCAAATCGTCCGGCATCTTTTAATTCTTTTGATTTTTCAAAACTAAATTTTTCGTCATTTTCAGTAAAAAAAAAACTCAAGGTTGTTCGTTGGCAAATATTTCTTGTATGTGAGCCAATCAGATCTTGCGAATTTACATCGATTTATTATGTATCGTAATTGTCACGTTTGTGTTTTGGCGATGATCCTTTTGTTCTTTATGTAAACTACAACGCCCAGCTTAACCCGCTGTTTAAATACAGTAGCACTTCTTTTGTGGTRCCAACAATATCATTACARCGTCATACACAGCATTTAAAGGGGTGTACTAGGGTCTTCTGTACMCAAGTTTGTGCAGCCTTAACCACAGTACCATGAAGTTKTTTCTTGYTGGAATACTTTTGCTTGCCTCTGCGGCGTACCTGAATGCAGAGTACGAAGATGAAATCGAGATGACTCGGGAAGATGACTTTGATTTGGTAAGAAAAGAACATTAAATTCATGACATTTAAAGTCTTCAAATACTTTCTGAATAATAAGTATATGTTTTCACGAACAGAAACTCAAATATAGAAAGTAGAGTTCAATTTGCCGAACTGGCTTCACTCGCCGTGTCGTAATTGTTAGGGATATCAACTGGATAGCATTATTATAACCGCTCTGTATTTGTCCAGGAAAGACAGCAGGCTACTAGTAATCAATGCCTTTTCCGAGTACTGTGGCTACGTAGATGCATATATCTCGTGAAAGATCGTTAATGAGGAATTGGCTGTCATTCACAACTCCGGTCCAAGTTTTCCTTTCTCATTAGAAAAAAACAACGATTTGTGACTTTATGARTAAGGATTCCCATAGCTTAGCATAGCGTACTTAATTCATGTTTTGCGTTTGTAGTTGAAAAAATAGACTGAAACTCTCTTAAATATGTATGAGCATGCGTTATCGAAACACTAATACTAAGTCAGTAGTATAACCATACCTAAACAGRTCTTCCAAATAAGATATGAACGTGTAGATTAAGATTTTAGGAWTTTTTTCTCGCCATTTTGCCATCAGGTTGATGATGAAGACACAGCAATGGTAATTTGTTTTACATATCTATTTATTGATCATTTGAAATAATTGATAAATACCAAATATGACTTTTTCAAATACATCTAATTGAATAAACGTTGTCAGGTTTATGTGACATCATCGAAACTAGTATAAGATCAAAAGGGAGAATGGGAAAATAGCAAATAGCGGGGAGAAGGGAAAAGGTGGTGGCTGCTAGTCGTCCAACATCGCAGCACGGTTGATGAAACGCTCTCAAGTCGAAGTTCTATATTAGACATATTTTAAATACGCTTACACACAGGCGTGCTGCCGGCTCAAGTTTAGGCAATTATTATTCAGATTTCGAGCTCCCAGGATCCCTTTCGGCYTTAGCTGGATGATTTCACCTTTTCAGAGGATCAATGTTTTCCAATCGCTAATAGTAGTATAACTCTATTCTTTCAATCCAAGGATAAATGTAAAGCTGAMAGAAAGAAATGTCTTGAAGACGCTGGAGATGACTACAAGAAAAAACTCGAATGTTTGTTAAAATATGAGAAGTGCAGACCACGTCCAACACGTCCTAGACCAAGCTTTAGGCCAACACGACCAACTCCTCCGGATTACGTGGTAAATATACAGTCGTTTTAAATAAGCATAAACATTTTCCATCACTCAATCATTCGCACCACGCACTAGCCCTCTCAAATATTGATACACGTTACGTTTTAATAGGTTAAATGTAAAAATGAGCGAGCTGCTTGCCTGAAGGCGGCAGGTGATGACTTCCAGGCTAAGCTGAMATGTATCGTCGACTTCAAAAAATGCTTACTTACAAACAGACCCTCTTCTCGACCTGATAGCAACGATGCATTGCCTAAGCGCATTCCTGATTTTATAGTAAGTTAATAAAGAACAATTAACTTTGATATAAGACTGTACGTATGTATTTCCACATTAATTTGTCAATATTAGCATTTATTCCGACGAAGCTAAGGACTAACGTCCGAGACGTCAGAAAGTAATTTCCATTCATTTTTGTGGTGTAAAATTTATTTCAAGAATGTTTCTTTAGAACATCGACGCAGCTCAYACTAGTTTACCGCTAAAGAGTTCYCATCACTTGTCAGTTATTTACTTTTTTTAATCATGTTTTTTATTGTGTTTAATAATCAGCCCTTTTATATGTTGCCATACTAGGCAGGCTCATTTGCATTGCAGTTACAAGTCTACGGTTAAACTAAGTCAGTTAAAAGTACATACTTACCGAGTTCTACGAACTACTTTTCTTTTCAAAGGCCAAGTGCAAAAGCGAGGCAAAAAAGTGTATGGTCAATGCTGGTACTGACAAAGACAAAAAACGCCAGTGCTTTCTTAGCTATCTCAAGTGYATTCGTGAAAATCGTCCACGCCCAACACGTCCAGCATATGTAGTAAGTTGCATTGCCCAGATCCCTACTACAATAGTTGGGTATTTATGCTAAATATACACCATTCTTTGCCTGAAATTATAGGTCAAGTGTAAAAGTGAGTTTGTGAAATGCCTGAAAGCTTCTGGAGATGACAAAGGCAAAAAGAAGCAATGTTACATCAGCTTCAAAAAGTGTTTGTATGAGAATCGACCCACTAGAAGGCCACGTCCATCCGGCAGACCATCCAAAGAACCACGTCAGTAAATGGRGATTTCACTATTTTGCTTCCTGACAAGCAAAACATTATAAAAAAAAAGAATTAAAAAGAATTAAAACTTTGCGAGTTCTTTCTTTTCTCGTTGGGACGGTGGCGGCGTGAGGGYGTGTGGGATATATTTGGATCCAGCATTTCCTCGCTGTCCTTGAGGTCTACAGGGGCGTAGTCAGGGTGAGCACATGATACACSTACACGTGAGCAGCATTCCATATGTATGAATTATTAAAAAGWGATGTAAAACAGYAAATAAAATTTACAGTACCAGTATAAAGTRTCAGAATATTTTCAGTGCAATAAGGAAAATGATCCTACGCATCCAGCTAAAATTTGCGGCTTCTGAGTTTTGTTGTATCTGATGAATTTTTCGGAAATGCAATAAATTCGTCCTATATATCATGAGACAATAAGGTAAAAGCACTTATTCCACATATCTTTCTTGCAAGTGAGATCCGTTCATTTTCTTCTAAGAGTTTATTTTGGGAGCGGAGGGTGATTGGTCAGGTCGCAGGAGGTTGTTTGTTATAGTTAGAATACTGATCAGAGTTCTTCTTTTTTCGGTTTGAACTTGGTAACAAAGATAACTATGAGAAGTTATCAAATATTTATGGACTGTTAAAGGAATGAAACTGAAGCATCTTTACGTGGGAGAAAGTCATTTGCCGGCAAACCGCGTCGATTCTGGTTGGCTGTGAGGTTCATGTAAAGTAAAACAACGCGTTTCATGTATTATTCGACAAGAAATCAGACAAGAAACACGGATCGCAACCAGCCCACCCTACTGCAATGATCAGTCAGATCGCAGGGATACCAAGCTTCATCTAGTCCGCCTACTCGTGTCGTAGGAGACTCCGGTCGAAGTCCGAATAATAAACTGTAGTAGCCTGTGTACCTCAAAAAATCGGTGAGAGAACGTCTGTGATTTGCCGTTGCTAATCGTGTTCTGACATAAATTTGCATATATAATGTGACATGAAGTAATGGACCGTTCCGCAACATAATTCGAACATAATGCCWAGAGATTTTGTTTTTGTTTCAGCCATTCAATTCTAACTTCGACCGTGGTTTAAATTATTGTYTCTGCCCATTGGTCTATGCCGTGCTCTCTCTATCTTCGGTAGTAGCTGTCTCGTCAGAATGTGGTTTTCCTGTAATTTGCGTCATACAATGACTTCCATCAACCGTACTAATATCTTCTTGTGAAGATTACGTTGTCCTCGGCAGTTTTGAAGCTGTAACTCTGGCGCTTTCGCAGGCTATTATGAGATGTAGAATACAAACTACTAAGCCCCCTTATCTTCTTTAGCACTTCTGACAAATGCAAGTTTTGTTCGTGAAGATTGGCGGCGAATTCTAATGACATTATAATTCCACATCAATTTTAAATTTACCCTGACCGAATATAAGATTTATGCCTAAACTTTTACAGAGAATTTGAGATGAAATAACATATTCGATTTGAGACATTCTACATGTTCCAGTGGTTTACCATGAAGGCTTATATTTCACTCGTGYGACCAAMTTTACACGMYATCTAYTGATTTTGGCCAATCACAAGTCTCATAAGTCAACGGCCAATGAAATTCGTCCTCCAAATCTTGAGGACCTCAGAACACGATTAGCAACGGCAAATCACAGACGTTCTCTCCCCGATTTAAATTTTTTGAGGAGTGAGAAACGGATGTACACAGGCTAAAACTGTAGTCAATCGAACATTAATCAAAAATCGGATTGATTTCCGATTCCTTTTTTTGCCAGGGCTTAGAAGTAACGTACGTATTTTATAAATACATCTATAAATGCTAATTATGCACAAAGCATCGAAATAAGCTGCCATATAATATTTATCTAAACTTTCCTTTTTCAGCTTCTTCACTCAACTCCACTCCCCTTCCGATTTTCCCTTTCCCCTAGAGCCCTTGCGCAGGATATAATGACCTATAATAATTATAGAACTTCAAACACGAAGATTTCTTAGAAAAAGTAATTATAAATTACACAATTTTAGTCTATTCTTGTCGAGCAACCACTTAACTAGTAATCCCATGAGAAATAAAGAATAAAGCTATCGCCACCATGTTGGATGAATGAACAAGAGAAACTAATGAGGAATGCTTTGTGATCTTCATCCAACATGGTGGCGATGACGTAACTTGCACGTCAAGAATACTAATTTTACGCTAGACCGTCTGAAAACATAAAATACCAAATGAATGAAACAGATGGCTGTACAATAGTCTCGTCTGACCAAATAGTTTCGTTCACGCTTCCCGCCGGCGTGACTTTGCATCGAAGCGAGAGATCGTTGAGCGTACCTTGATAGAAACCTTCTTTCACAGCTCCACACAATTATTCACAGGTATCTATCACTGCACGTTCGATGCAAAGGCACAGCTACCTTAAATTCCAAAATGGTGCAGAACCGTGAAAAGACTATAAGATATTTGTTATGTTAGCAAATCACATGTGCTTCATTGAAATTAAAGCTGTTATTTAAAATTTATAAATAAACCCAATCATTTCTAATACATATTTCTAGTCGCAATTTCTCTAAAGTGAGGCTAATTACAACGCTAAACCATTTTGTGAAATGGCAATTATCATATCTTTAAATTATCCCCTCGGTTCCCTACAGGTAACAATATCTTTGATTTGAAGTCGGAAGAGTGCGTTGTATTAACCTTGCACAAGATTCTATTGTCTAGAGATTGTCAAAGGCATGTTTAGCACTAATTGATAAACACATTTATTTTGATCAATAATTATGACTCTTGATATAACAATCTGATATGTTTATCAACAGAGAAACTTTGCGTTTYACCGGCATCACCGGTACCATCTGTATCAACCCCAGTTGATACTAGGCCCCATCCACAGAGTATATCATCGACTACAGCAACATCAGTATCAGTACCTTCAACGATACTAACGCAGGAACCTCAACAAACCAAGACACTTGAATCAACAAAAGAACCGTGTCCTACAATCACTCTGAAGCCATGTAGTTGTTCAATCACAAAGAAACCAGATTGCGGAACTGAAAAACCAGCAGGTGAACATCGATTTTTATTGTGGGAGTACTGGAAACACATTATTTTTTACTGTTTTTATTTTTAGCCGCCTCACGAACATACATTTGTACTTTTATGCCTTACTGACCATGCGCTCCGAAAAAAGACTACCTTTTTTGACCATCCAATGCAACACGATTATGAAGCGTTTTCAAAAAGCTTTCGTTTAAAAATCTCCTCTCGTTTCCCTGACAATAGAAAGAGATGGATTAGCATGAATTATGTTGCACAACTCATGTATTTGAAGTAATGTTTAACGACTTCTCATACTGATTAATTATTCGGGAGGGGAAAAAAGCGAAGGAAATACATATAACAGAAATATATTGATATATTGCATCTCCACTAAGGTTTTCAGTTTYCATAATTTTGAATACATGAAGCACCGTTTGTTGTTCTTCAATTCCCTGACGGCTTTCTGAAACAAAAGCTATTCAAGTCTTTGTCTGCTATTCATGGCATTCCTAATGAGCCTAATCCATAAGCTTTATAAGTATGTTATCTTCCGAGGAATCGCATCAGAAACTCGGTGGTGTAATGATATAAGACGGCGCATATAGACTGGACGGTAGGGGATCGAGTCGTGAGGGAGTCATGTATCAAAGACCTTTTTTCACTAAATTAATGTTAAACTGATTATTTCTAATAATTTGATTATCATTAGCTAGTAGTAGTTGGAAACATGGTAGAAGTAACTGGAAATAAGGTAGAAATAACTGGAAATAATGTAGAAGTAACTTGAAAAAGGTAGAAGTAACTGGAAATAAGGTAGAATACAAGGTACGAGTACTTCCTCTGGTTTCAAGTTACTTCACGTGGTACAAATTACAATCAGGGATTGGCTGAATACCTCATGAATAATTAATGAGTTTTTGAAAAACACATCACAACTTAT